CAGAAAGCGACTGCCGGGGGAAAGTAAAATAAACACAAAAGACAGTGCCTTCTCCTCATGCAATATAATTTACTATAAAATTTACAAAATCAAATAATCAATTCTACTAACGAATGGCGTCCAGGTACCATGCATAATAAACATGCATGGTACATGAGCTCCATTCATGAGTAGAACTGATTATTTTATTTTATGAATTTTATAATAAATTATATTGCACAAGGAGAAGGCACTGTCTTTTGTGTTTATTTTACACGTACCCAAAGATTTTCCCAATCTTTCATGGACACCCAGATAGCAAGCAATTGAGCTGCAAGTTTGAAAATGACTTGCTAAACTATTGCAAACTTGCCAAGCTTCACAATTTTGTTGCACAATTACAGCATAGTCTGCATTGCAAGTTTCCAGACCAGCGAGCTTGCAGAGCTCTTGCTAAGACCTGCAGGACTCTTGCTGTAGACTTGCCAAGCAAATTTGCTACAAATTCAAAAGGTGTCAACTAGAACTTGTGCTGCAAGTGTTCTTCAAGTCTACAACTTGCCAGGAATATGTGCAGCAAGTTAACAAAATTACAATTTCACCCTGCCAAAAGTTTGTAGCAAGTTAGCCTTGCTGTCTGGGCAGCAGCCTTCCAATCAACTATAAATACCTAACAGTGGCGTCGCTACAGGTGGGCAAGGGGGGGGCAATTGCCCCCCTAGGTTTTCACTTGCCCCCCCGTGTGCCCCCCCACCAGGGATCGGCAAGGTGTCCTTGCCGATCTCTACTGTGCTGATCTCTGCAGAGATCAGCACAGTAGCAGCAAGCAGCTGGTGCCCAAGGCTGAATAATAGGGGCCCGACGCTGAGGTGGGGAGCCTTTGCAGAGGACAGCATTTCAGCGACAATTAAAAAAGTTAAAAAACTAAAGTTAAATGAATAAGAAGTAAAAAATATGTAAAAAAAATAAATAAAGTTAAATAAGTAAAAATGTAAAAAAATAAAAAGTTAAATAAACTAAAATTACAAATCCCCCATAAAATTAAAGGCCCCAGACCCTGCGAACACACGCATTTAAAAAACAAAAACATAATAAGTATTAACCAGCACATGCTGTATGCAGCTTCTGTCGCAACTGCAGGGCGCAGATGCCATCCGCAATTAAATCAGCTCTCGGCACCCATTGGTTGCGACATGCAATTAAAATTATTAGTGCCCCCCCAGATCTGACTGTGGTATCTTATGTGCCCCCCCCTATATATTGTTCCTAGAGTCGCCACTGATCCCTAATCAACTGAAAGCGAGGGAAATTCACTCTTAAGGTGGCCATGCACTTTACAACCATCGCAAGACCTTGGTCTTGCAATAGTTGTAAAGTAATTAAAAAAACGTACGATCTGCCCATCTTGGACAGGCAGATCGTACTTACAATCATCGAGTGAATAACCAAGCCCTAGTGAAGTGAGCCCGACAATGTTCAGCTATTCACTTCGGCTCAATATGGCTGATTTCAGCCGTACATCGGCTGCCTTCAGTCAGCCGAACATGCTCTCCATGTTCGGCTGAGCCAAAGTGCAGAAGGACTTCGACTCAGCCGATCCAACATCTGGATTGTCTGAGCCGAAGCTATTCATATAGGGGCCGAACGGCAGTAAGTGAATAGCCGAATGCCGCCGAGCAAGAAAAAACAAGCTTCCGATGACCGCAATGCTGAACGGGCAGTATGCGCGTGCGCACACCGGCACGTTTGGCATTTGTCTCCCGAGCATGCCACAAACCAGCCGAAAACCGTAAGATTTTCGAACATGCTCCTTAGACAAAAGACGTGAGACCGTACAGTAAAAACGGTCGCACGTCTGTCATACACTTTGTGATTATCGTACGATCACGGGCTTTCCCGCCATTATCGTGCGATAATCGCACAGTGTATGGGCACCTTTATTTGTCATTTGAACAGGTGTCCCCATTGGAAAACATTCCCTCATGTTCTGGTTATAACTGTAAAATGTTAGATTTCCCATCACAGTCTTTCCCAATAACATTACTTACCAAGACAAATAGAGAGTGTGTATCCCCCTCAGCAAGGCAAAAAAAAAAACCTGAAATGGGTCTAACTCATCCCTGCTCTATTCAATATTTAAAAAACATAATTTTGGCTTTAGATAAACATTTAGAAAAGGTGAACCTTGTCTGTGTAAGGATTTTTAGGCCCACAACACACACGTTTTCAATATTCAGATTTGAATAAAACATCATTTGAATTATATTATTTATACTCTCCACAATTTTTTTACAACCAAAATTAAGAAAATGGCTTATACTAGTTTGAGTCCAAAAGCTATACTAATTTTATGAATGCTAGTTTATTTCTTGTTTTTATTGTTTTATACAACCATAGTAAAACAAGAAATATGTTTCAAGTCAAATGTTCCATTGTAGTAGGAAAAATGATTTACTTTCATGTCTCTACTGCCCATTCTTGCATAAAATCCATGCATACTATGGCAGACACTTAAGAATTATCTGCCAGTTTGCAATGTCACA